TCACTATGATGAAGCAATAAATCTTTTTAGACGAATGCAGTTTCAGAACCTGAGACCTGATAGAACCACTTTGAGTGTGATATTAAGTTCGTGCGCGAGATTGAGATTTCTGGAAGGAGGGAAACAGATCCACGGGGTAGCGATAAGGACCGGGATTTCTAAGAACAGTCACATAGTTAGTGGTCTTATTGCTGTGTACTCTGAATGCGAGAAGATGGAGGTCTCTGAATGTATATTTGATGATTGTATAAATTATTTGGATGTCGCTTGTTGGAACTCGATGATCACAGGTTTTAGTCGCAACTCAATGGACACAAAAGCTTTATCGTTCTTCAAAAGAATGCATCAGACTAGTGTGTTGTTTCCTAATGAAACTTCATACGCCACTGTATTAGGTAGCTGTTCAAGTTTATGTAGTTTACTCCATGGAAGACAGTTTCATGGTCAGGTAGTGAAGAGTGGATACGTAAGTGATCTCTTTGTTGAAACTGCTCTAACCGATATGTATTGTAAGTGCGGTGCAATAGATTCAGCGAAGGAAGTCTTTGATACAGTGTTGTTTAAAAACACGGTTTTGTGGAACGAGATGATACATGGGTATGCTCATAACGGACGAGGCGATGAAGCTGTTGGTCTCTACAGAGAGATGATTACATCGGGAGAGAAGCCGGATCGGATAACATTTGTATCTGTCTTGACTGCTTGTAGCCACTCAGGACTAGTGGATACCGGGCTTGAGATACTCGGGTCGATGCAGAGAGATCATGGGATTGAACCGGAGCTGGATCATTACATATGTATAGTTGATTGTCTTGGAAGAGCTGGTCGGCTTGAAGATGCAGAGGCTCTTGCAGAAGCTACGCCATACAAAAGCAGCTCTGTTCTATGGGAGATTATACTTAGTTCATGTAGAGTCCATGGAAATGTGAGCTTGGCTAGACGAGTTGCAGAGAAACTCACAAGTTTGGATCCTCAGAACCCAGCTGCTTATGTGCTGCTAAGCAACACATATACTTCTGTCAGACAGTGGGATGAATCTGCAGCTCTTCAAGAACTGATGAACAAGAGCAGAGTTCGTAAGAGTCCAGGTCGTAGCTGGATCACATAGAGCAATGATTGGACTAAGGAAAGTCGCAAATAGCTTGTTAAGGTAAACACAGTGTAGATTAAAGATGGACCGTCACATTGATTATTGAATACTCAGAAAGCTCTCAACTTCTACTTCTGGACACTCACTCCAGGTTATTTGATAACACTCGAACACACGGTAAAAAACCTCGACAAGAATTCAATACAATTTGAAAGAAGTGACCATTCAGATGAAGAGAAAACAAAAGAAATGAAGCAATCACCAAGGTATCTCCTGGCCATCCCAAGCAAAGAACTTGCCGTTGTCTTGTCTCTTGGCATTGTTGATGATGTGCAATAGTTTCTCAACAGAGTACTCTTTTGTGAACAGCTTCCCTTCGGGAACGTTCCTCTGGAACGGCCGAGAGAGATCAGTGTCTACTGTGCCTGGATGAAGTAGAATGCACACCACTGGATCCTTCCTCCTACCCAACTCAACCGAAACATTTTTCGTCACTGCAAAAGGAACAGAAGTTAATGATTTTGGTTTCCTCAGCTCATACCAAGAAAGATCAAGTAACAATCTGCAGTACATTGGTTGAGTGCGGTTTTTGAAGCCCTGTAAGAGTGCCAACCACCAAGTCTGTTGTCTCCAATGGATCCAACTCTGGCGCTTATATTGGCTACAACAGCTACTTCCCTCTCCGTTCCATTACCTCCACCAGCCTTAAGGAGTGGCCACATATGCTACAACACAGCCAAAGAAGAAACCTTTGTGATTCATTTGATTTCATGTCCATACATTACTTAGATCTGCTCTCACTCTGTTTTGGAGTCTCTTACCTTCATCACTAGAATAGGACCAACAGCATTAACCTCATAAGAAAGCATCAATGATGACTTCTCAACCTTGTTCAATGTTGTTTCTGTACTGAGATCAAAAGGAGAGAAGAAAAAAAACACAGAAACTAATGTCTCTAACATTTCGTTAAAACTCGACGCAAAATGGTCAAGAAGTGAAAGACACTAGACATACCTGGCTGCAATACACCAGTAATTGAGAGTATACCGGTTGCGTTTACAAGTAGATTGAGAGAACCATATCTATCTCTTACAGATTCCGCTGATTCCTAATTAAACCGGTTACACAGTTTCAGAAAAACACATTTTACACAACAAATTAGGCACAAGAAAGGTGGAGACGGATTGAGGGAAGTGATTATAACCTCAATGGTAGTTTCATCTGTAACATCAAGCTTTTGTATCAAAAGTCTTTCAGAGAATCGGTTCTTTAAATCAGAGAGACTTGTTGCTTCTTTTGGATTCCGACAAGTAGCAACAACATACCCTTTCTTACAGTTCTCCAGCAACTGTCTCACCTAATTAAACGTGAACAAAGATTCACTAAAAGGATCAACATCGAAGCAATTTCAGAGGTTTTTGTCGTCTTTTTCAGAAATTTGTAGTGACAGGTAAATTCCCATTATTTTTGGAAAAATCAAGAACAGAGATCTGATTAAGAAAGAGACTCACAAATTCGAGGCCGAGGCCTCTGGAAGCTCCTTGGACCAAGGAAACTCCACCTTCCCAATTGGGCAAAGAGGAAGATGACGATGACGTGGCGAAACCAGCTACTCTCGTCCTCCTCAGAGCCGCCGTCCTTGACGGCGAAACCAGCCACGCGCCACCGCTTTTCGCCAGAGTGTTCATTGAAAGTGGAGTAACGATTGGATACTTTTTACGGGTGTGTGATTAAGATAAAAAAAAGGATGGGATCATAAATGCAACTACTTTACAACGCCATTGACACGGGAACTTAACTGCCACTTCCAAAAATATGGGGATAAAATGATAAGAATATTAGGTTCTGCCTAAAAGAGAATATTTTCACCAATACTCTTTTGTTTTCGTCTCTTCGTTTTGGTTTTTGTATACATATACACATTTTAGGGGAAAAACGGTTCACGAGGATTCATAAGTGATTACTAAGAAGAAGCCATAAACAACGTATTTAGATAAGATCACCAAAGTCTGATTTCACAAGTAAAACAAGACTAAACATGTATCTATATATTAAAAACAGAAACAACCATAATTCATAACCTGACTAATCTCGTTCAGAAAAACAAACTAGGGGAATTATATTTAAATCAATCACCTTTTGCATTTGCTGCCTCTACTTGCTGAATTTGAACCGAACTTGGAACATAACTGTCAAGAAACGGCCAACAGTCATCAGCTGGTCCTTGTGCAATCTCTCCAAGAATTTGTTTACACGAGTGTTTATGGTTCCCGTCTCCTCCAACAATGTAAATTACGTTCTTGTTTCCCTTTTTGGTGTCTCTACCACTACACACGACTCTTTCATTCTCCTCGTCGACCAAGAAGCTCACCACGGTCATACCTCTTCTCAAAACTCTACTGAAATCCACTACTAAGACATATTCCATATCTGTGACGGCCTCATCGATCTTAGTGTCGGTCACCCATATCTTCATCTCTCTCGACGAATCAAAATTGGGCCTATCAAGTAGCACAGCAAGTTTCTCTTCTCTAACCACCGAGAGAAACATAGTTCCGGAACCACTAAACGGAAGAGAAAAATGTTCAAATCTCTCTCTTTTGAAATCAAACCTGAGCAAGAATTGAATATCGTTAGGTTCTTTTTTATCCCAAGCAACCCAGTAAGTATTTCCCTTCAAAGACACGCCATGACTAGTTATCATCCAGCGCCAGGAAACTGTTAAATTTCTTTGAGCGTCTTCATCAAGAAGTCTCCATGAATCAGTGTTAAAATAATACAACTCAAACTCCATAACCCAGATTCCCAGGTTGTTGTTTTTATGCGTTCTACACCTCAAGATTTTGAAGCTATCGCAAGAATATTTGTTCTTGTTGTTTCCGTACCCTAGAGCATACGAATCGTAAGCTAAGTGATCATCATTCCTGGGTTGGATCCGGATCCACCTGGTTTGACCAGTACAAGGGTTCCAAACCACGATTCTTTTGTCTTTGGTGGTGCACAAAAACAAACCCTCGCACTGAAAGATAGCATGTATCATCGTCTGTTCTGAATCTTTTAGGCTGTTGAGTTTACCTGTAAACTCAATGGATGGATCAAATCTCTTGTTGTTGATTCCATGGAGATTGAGGTTCACTGAATAAACACTAAAATCTTTCTTTAAGATAAACTGCCTTTTTGCTTTACCTAAATTCTTCTCGATGAATCTAGGGTTTTTGAACAAAGCATACCATCGTCTGCAGGTAGATCGAAATTTGTGTAGAGATGTGGGAGGAACCCTAGATAGTATTTCACATTCCAATTCTCGTGGGAGATCGGTAATCGTCATGGTTTTTCCTTGTGATCTCTCCCTCAAGGAAGAAAGCGTCAGCTCTGAAAAGAGAAATAATTAGGGTTTTAAGTTTTTGACATAACAATCATTATAATGTAGGACTCTCTTCTAAATGGAAAACTTAATCTAACGGTTTAGATGTCTCCTTTTTCAATCCAAAGTCTCTCTCTTAAGTTTACTTAGACGTGACCAAAAAGATTAAAAAAAAAATTGTTACTTAGAAGTTAGAAAGTAAATTGTCAATGCTTCAAACTACAAAAAAAAAAACAATATGATGTGAAAAGTTGAGTTTCACATCATTGCATGAATCTCCTTACAAAGGATATAGAACCTATAGACACCAATAAAACTAGTGCGAGGAATGTCATTAATCAAAGCCAGAAACAATGAGACAATTAAGGGCTCATGCATCATCCATGAGAAGATCTCTGGAACTTGCATTGTTGGGGTTTGGCGAAACCATACCCAAGAATCATTGAACTCAAACCATTACCAAAGCACAAAATAGTATATGGACCAGTTTGGGAAAAGCACAGCTGAATGATTTATCATCATTCCCTCAAAAACTTTAATTATCGAGTAGTCTGCAACCTTTTGCTCTTAGTTTCGACTCAAGACCGAAAAAGTTGATCCTTGAAAGCACCAAATCAGCAGCTGTCTTCTTCTTTGTCTGCTCAACTAACATCCCATCATAGACTACCATTTTTCACTGGTGATTATTGAAATAATCTTTGAAAGTGATTTTTAACACGGTGATGATATTTTCACCAATCTTTTAGATTTCTAATCTTTTATTTTCGTTTTGGTTTTCGTATACATACACCTTCAAGGAAAAAAAGGTTCACCAGGACCCATAAGTGATTACAAAGAAGAAGCCATAAACAATGTATTTAGATAAGATCACCAAAATCTGATTTCATAACTAAAAGAAGAATAAACATGTATATACAGATTAAAAACAGAAAAAAAGAATAATTAATTTCGTTCAAAAAGCAAACTAGGGTAATTCAAAGGGACTACTTAATCACCTTCTGCATCTGCTGCCTCTACTTGCTGAATTTGAACCAAACTTGGAACATAACTCTCGAGAAATGGCCAACAGTCCTCTGTTGGTCCTTGTGCAATCTCTCCAAGAATTTGTTCACACGAATGTATACTTTCCTGGTCTCCTCCAACAATGTACATGATGGTCTTGTTTCTATTTCTGGTGTCTAAACCACAACACACGACTTTTTTATTCTCCTCGTCCAGCAAGAAACTCACCACCGCCGTACCTTTGCCCAAAGTGTTACTGAAATCCATTACTAGGAAATATTGGATATAGGTCATACTTTTGGCCTCATCGATCTTATTATCGGTCACCCATATCTTCAGATGTCTTGACGAATCAATATTACGCCTCTCAAATAACACAGCAAGTTTCTCTTCTCTAACGACTGAGAGAAACACTGTACTTCCGTAGCCACCATCCGGAAGAGAAAAACGTTCAAATCTCTCTTCTTTGAAATCAAACCTGAGCAAGAATTTACTATCGTGATGTTCGTGTCGATCACAAGCAACCCAGTAAGTATTTCCCTTCAAAGACACGCCACGACTAGTTATCATCCAGCGCCAGGAAACTGTTAAACTGCTTTGAGCGTCTTCAGCAAGAAGTCTCCATGAATCAGTGTTAAAATCATACAACTCA